AATTTTAATCATTGTCAGCCTATTACGAGAACGGCTGACCTTTAGTCAAAACATTAAATGTAATGAGTGGACAGTGATGTGAAGCTTCGGCTTAGGGGATGTTTTCACGTGGACTTAATCCAACGATCACCACGTCGGCTATAACAGTATAAATATCCACTCTCTGTATAGAAAGAGAGGACGGTGAATTGATGCAAAGAATATACAAACACATACTCATACAAATACTTGAGACTTTAATGAAAACAAGGGAACTCATCTACCCATTATATCTATCCTTCCAGACATTTCATTATCATTTTGTTAAATAGGAGATCATTGATAGTATGATAGTCCTGAAATATATCGCCGGACCTTAACATTTTTTATCTCTCGTCGGAAAGTGCCTCCCACGTTTACTGCAGTTGGATTACCGTTCTTATTCCAGTAAAAACGTGCTGGATCCATACTCGACGTGATGAGAGTGGGCCCGACATCTGTCGAGTTCATTTTTTGGGGTCAACATTAGGCAATACAATTTCCAATCATTTTGTGTGTACGAAAATACTAATGACAAACTNAATTTTAATCATTGTCAGCCTATTACGAGAACGGCTGTCCTTTAGTCAAAACATTAAATGTAATGAGTGGACAGTGATGTGAAGCTTCGACTTAGGGGATGTCACCACGTGGACTTAATCCAACGATCACCACGTCGGCTAGAACAGTATAAATAGCCACTCTCTGTATAGAAAAAGAGGACGGTGAATTGATGCAAAGAATATACAAACACATACTCATACAAATACTTGAGACTTTAATGAAAAGAAGGGTACTCATCTACTCATCATATCTATCCTTCCAGATATTTCATTATCATTTTGTTAAATGGGAGATCATTGATAATATGATAGTCCTGAAATATATCGCCGGACCTTAACATTTTTTATCTCTCGTCGGAAAGTGCCTCCCACGTTTATTGCAGTTGGATTACCGTTCTTATTCCAGTAAAAACGTGCTGGATCCGTACTTGACGTGATGAGAGTGGGCCCGACATCTGTCGAGTTCATTTTTTGGGGTCAACATTTGGCAATACAATTTCCAATCATTTTGTCTGTACGAAAATACTAATGACAAACT